GCAGCCCCCCCTGGCGGCCGTCTACACCACACTCGCCTTCACCGAGTGCGGCCTCCTCCCCCGACTGCCCTCCTGTCCTTCCTGCATCCCCAACGTGGGTGTCCACCCTGAGTTGTGGTCACGTTTCCTGCTTTTCTATTTCCTGCATCCTTCAGTTCAGAAAGTGAAAACGGGACACATTTGTTTCTAGGACAGTGGGAGTTTGCGGTCTTAGAAAATTCAAGGAGCTTCTAGTAAGGAGGCGGGACTTTCGAAGTGGGTAGAACCACGAGGCTACGAGGGGCAGACGCAGAGCCCATCATATATCTCTCAGGTGTGACAGACGGGAGCCGGACGGTCCGAGGAGGATGACTGCTTATCTCTGTGACCACCGACATGCAGTAGCACGGAGACCCGCGACCCCCATGCAACGGCGTGCAAACCAGGCGCAGCACAGGAGGGCGGGCTGGGCAAAGCGTGCAGAAGGGTCCGGCTGCCGGCCGAGATGAGCCCCGAGTTCATACAAACCTCCAACATTAAATTGCTATGTCTGATATAAATGTTTTCACCATCTAGTCTCTCTCTCTTTTTCTGTGAAAATGAAAGGGGGAAAAACAGAAAAGCATAAAAAATTAAAATGTTGTTCTTGCGGGAAAAGACGGCAAACTGGCAAACCGAAAATACTGAAAATGCAATGGCCGCAGCACAGCACACGCCACCATGAAATGGTCACAGAGCCACAAGGACACATGGAGCACACGATCCCGCCAGCAAATGGAGACGTCGCCCGTGAGCGGTGAAGGGACGCAGTGACAGATCTGAGCAGACAGTGCCCGCGGCCCATCGGCCTCTTATGTAACAAGCTGTCATGTGCTCACTTTGCCGTGAGCTGCGTGAGTGTCGCCCTCCAATGCCCGGCTTTAGAGAGCTTCGGACTCCTCCGAGCAGGAGGTGGGGACATGCTTTACAACGCTGCGAGCGTGCCGGACGCTTTCCCGCTGTGGCCACGGTGCAGTTGCTTCTGTGAAAACACACAGCAAGTACTGCCAGCAGCCGGCGCGAGATGCCACCGGGACCAGCCCTCTCACGAGGCAAAGGCGAAGGACAGCCCGGCCCTCACTTGTGCGTCATCTCACTTAGAAGGCTCTTTCCTACTGGGGTGTCACCGTCTCTCACTGCGCGGCAGAGGGGATCACTTCTGTGGTTTGCACGTGTTCACAGACACAGCTGCCAGGTGTGCGTGTTCACGGACACAGCTGCCAGGTGTGCGTGTTCACGGCCACATCTGCCGTGTGCACATGCGTTCACGGCCACATCTGCAATGTGTTCAGACACATCTGCCGTGTGCGTGTTCAGACAGCTGCCGTGGGAGCGTGACCGCCGAGGGAGCCATCATGAGGAGCACGGTCGCTGCCTCGCGGCCCGGGAAGTGAGCATGGCTGAGATGGAGGTGCGGGTTCTGAAGGTGAGACATGCTAACCTTCCTCATCCTTATCAGATCTTCACTTCTTTCTGCAAGCTTCTGCTTTGCCGTCATTTCAAAAAGAAAGAAGAAGGGTAAGACATTGGCTTGTTGAAGTTGTTGGAGCCTTCTGTAATTTCGAAGGCGCGGGGAGTGAGGGAGGAGAAACGGGGAGGGTGGCCTGGTGGCACAGACCCGTGCGGCCGCCAGCCATCCGCCATCCGAGGGGGCGCTTTCCACCTGCATTTGAGGGGAACCGGCAGAGGGTCCCTATACAGGCTGTGCCTGTGCACCGGGGAAGCGCCCTCCGGTGGCGTCGGGCAGCTCCGGAGCCCCAGGCCAGCATCAGCCGGCAGCCTGGGCCCAGCCAGCGCTCCACCAGGTTGTCAAGGCTCAGGAAGTAATGAGGATATCCACATTTTCAAAACAGAAAATAAATGTTTTTTATAATTACCTGTTAAAAATTACTAAAAAAGGGACCAGTGGATAGCGTGGTGGTTAAGGCACTGGACCCTCCCTCATGGACAGACCATGGTTCAAGTCCTGGACCTGGTGGCTTGCTTTCTCACTTCCCCTCTCTCTCTCTCTGGTCAAATTAAAATAAGTGGATGAATAAAGTTAAATAAATAATTATTTCAAAAATTCTTTAAAAAAAAAAAACGAGGCTTACTTAGTGCTCTAACCAGGTGTTTTCACTTGTGCATTTTTTTAACGTAATGATCTGGAAGCACTTTGAGTAACAATCGCTAAAATTTACAGAGATATTAATATGTGACGTACATCATAACTAGAAATAAAAATAGGCTTCTTGCCTGGCTTTGAAAAACTTTTAGTAAGAGCCTTTTTATACTCAGAAAAGGAAGTCATTACAGCAAAGGCAGACTAGAGCCAGCAGGTGGCGTGGTGGTGAAGGCGCCGGATCCCACGTGGCCGACTGACCACGGTCCCCAGTCCAGACCAAGTGGGGAAGGGATGGAGGCATGGCCACCCCGTGGGGCTTTCCTTGCCTTCCCTCCCTCTCTGGCAAGCACAAGCACCCCACCAGTTTAACAGGAAGCGTAACGGTCAACAATGCCTAAAGCACTGGATATTTCGAAATTAGAAAACTGACTGTTTTTATAAGAATCAAACAGCATTTGATAGCAAGTTCTTTCTCTTTTTTTAAATTGCTAGAGGGCACTTGAGCTCTCCAGAGAGAGGGAGGGAGAGGGAGAGAGGGGCAAAAGCACTCCTGCAGCCCCATCCCGCCACTTCCCCATCCTGCAGAGATTCTGGGATGACCCAGCGTGTTTTGCCAGCCACCGGGACTGGGATTTGAACTGTGCGGTGGCTCTGTCTCTGCCATGTGGGATCTGGCTCCCTAATCACTAGGCTATGGCACAGTCAAGTCCTCGGTCAAGTTCTGTACAGAGCCTCCTCCATCTGTGTGTGTGTGCATGTTTTTTTTAAAGAATTAGTGACTTCACTTTATATATTCATCCACTTATTTTAATTTGACCAGAGAGGCAGAGAGAGGGAGTTGGGGTGGAGGCGAGAAAGCAGTCACCGACCAGGACTTCGTCGGCCGTGTGGGGGTGTCCAACACCTTCACCACCACGCCACCCAGCTCCCCAATCTGTGGTTTTGTCACATTCTTTTCTTTCCTTTTTTTTTTTTAATTGCCAAAGGCATGTGCGCTCCCAGAGAGAGGAAGAGAGGGAGAGCGCACGCCCGAATGCTGTGATCACACGGCAACCCTTCCTTCCACGTTTCCGTCCTGTCGGGGGCTGGGGCGCTCACTCACACACCGGCGTGCTTTTCAAGTTACGGGTGCCAGGGTCAGCCACGGCCAGCCACGCGGGCCCCGGTGTCCGGAGCACTCTCACAGGGCTGGTCCTTGACACTCTTCTTTCTTTTTCTCTTTTTTTCAGAGGTTTTTGCTTTAGGGGGCATGTGCTCACTGAGGCGGAGAGAGACTGAGACAGTGAGGGGGAGTGAGAAATCTCCCCTGGAGGGGACAGTCACGCTGCAAGCTCTTCTCCGCCCTCCTCCCGGGGCCTTGGGCACACACGCACACGCGCCTGGCATATTTAAAGCCACCAGGTGCGGGACTCATTGTGGTCGGCCACATGGGAGTCCAGCGCTGAAACCGCGAGGCCATCTACTGGCCCCAGCACATCCTAACCCCACTGAGCAGCTTTCGGGGTGCCCGGTCACTGCATTGGTTGCTATAGGACAGAACTTAGGGAGCCGAGGCCCGCACCCAACCAAGCAGCCTCAGAGCACAGCAGGGGAAGCCCCGCGTGGGAAGCCAGATGCCGAACCCGAGTCCTGGTGCTTCAAAGAACACTGGGGTTGTGTACACGCATGCCCCAAATCCTGACAGGGTGTTGGAAGGGCCCCATCGTGGGTGTTTCTCACTCTCTCCCCCTTTCTCTTGGGCAGTCATGTGGGCCCCCTGGCAATAAATAAATACTAACAGTGATGGTGAGAGTTACGGTAAAAAGGAAACAGAAGCTTAAGGCGAACAGCCTGCAGCTGTGAGACTGTCAGACCGGGAGCAACCCTGGACAGCCTGACAGCTCCCCCCAGCAGCAGGGATGCCAGTGGCCGGCACCGTGTGCCATGTGGCCCTGGACAAGTGACCTCCCCTCTCTGAGTGCCATTTCCTCACTGAGCGAGTCTTCAGAGCTAGCGTACAGAGCTTGAAGGTTTACATCAATAATGGCTCCTGTCGGCATTGGGTCCTCGGCACCCCACAGCAGGAAGGGAGGACTCCACTTCCCTCTAAGACCCAGGCCACGCGGCCAGTCACTGGTGCATGCCCAACGGAGAGCTCGGGATGAGACGGGCGTGGGTGGATGTCCCCCCTCCACTCCTGCAGAGCAGAGCTCACCATGTGGGCCACGGGACACGTGTCAGGCAGTGTTAGAAAACAATTTACAGTCACAAGGCTACTCTTCACTACTGCTGCTTTATGTAACAAATACGGCTCAGGGAAGTCACCATTGCTTCCTAACTGCCACAAATAAGCGAGCTCCAAGCCACCCTGAACTCTGCCAGTGCCGCCACGGGAACAGCCTTCCCGAGGTGGCCTGCAGTCTGCCACACGAGTACAGCTGCCACTCAGTCCCTGCCAGGGACGGCTCCAGGACCCTGCAGGTGCAAGTCTCTTGGGACGATGCAGACCTGGAAGTCCAGGCTCAGCCCCCGCACCCCCGCCTGGGACAGAGTGCTGCCACCTGCCATACACTCCACCTTTTCACTCCAGACTTGGAGTGACCTCCAAGGACAGCCGGACCAGGCGCCGTGCCGAGCAGCTGCTCTCGAGTACAGCTGCGACAGACAGGTGTCCATTGCTCTGCAGAGAGACGAGGTGTTCCTGGCTCCAAAAGCAGGACCAACCCATCTGCCCAGTCCAGAGCGTCTACTGGCATCCGACATGGTTTGAAACCTCTTAGTAGACACAGCACATACAGGCCGAGTTCTCAGGAAGGCTGCTTATCCTACGCCTGTTGGCAACACTGAGCAGTCTCTACTGCAGTACACACAAGCTAGTGCCTCAGCCCACTGCTGACACGGGTTTTAGACGTTTATGGGAGAGACCAGCAGTTATCGTGAGGGCTATGTCGCTGGACTCCCACCTAGTCGACCATGGTTCGAGTCCTGGACCCGGTGGCTTAAACTCATGCTGGGTGCGTGTGTGTGCGTGCCCAAGATCCCGAGAGGAGAATGGAGGAGAAGGGATTACAGCATGGCCATTCCTCCTGGGGGGTGATTTCTTGCTTTCTGTCTCTCTCTGTCTTTCTGGAGAACGCAAGCGCCTTATAGCGAAATCCTCTCCAAAAAAAAAGTTTATGGTGTAATGGTTACGTTGCTTGACTTCCCAGTAGTCAACTACAGTTCGAATCCCGGATCCGGCAGCTTAAAACTCACACTGGACACATGTGTGCCCAAAATCCCAAGAGGAGAATGGAGGAGAAGGGATTACAGCATGGCCATTCCTCCTGGGGGGTGATTTCTCGCTTTCTCTCTGTCTCTGTCTCTCTAGCAAGTGCACATGTCATATGGCAAAAATTTCTCTTAAAAAGAGAAAAAAAAAAGCCCGTAGGACTTGGGACCAGCAGATGGTGCGATGGTTACGTGTTAGACTCCCAAGTGGCTGACTGCGGTTCGAGTCCTGGACGAGTGGCATCAAACTCACACCAGGCGTGTGTGCGCATGCCCAAGATTCCAAGAGGAGAACGGAGGAGAGGGGACTGCGGCGTGGCCATCCCTCCTGGGGGTAACGTCTCACTTTCTGTCTCTCCAGCGAACACACATGTCCTGTACCAAAAATTTCGATCAAAAACAAAACAAAACCTCATCGACCTATCAAAGACCAGCCACTGTGACCCCTGAAGCCCGGGGATAGACTGGTGGCTGCCTACCATGGAGCTGGGACAGTGCGCTCGCCTCCTGTGTCTCGGGGCCCCGCTCTGTGAAGCTGCGTGGGGTCTGAGCAGTCCCCAGACAGGCTGCCATGACGCTGGCTCTTTGGAAACTATGTGGATGCCGTGTCTTGAAACACACGATCACATCTGAATCCCAATAGCGCGGTTTACTCCTAATAGCAATGCAAGGCCCTTCTGGACCAGCGTGGACGGCCACCAGCTGAGTGGGCCACCTGCAGATCTCGGGGACGGTGCCTTGTCATGAGGATGGGTGCTATCATACTTCAGGGGTTCAGGAGTGCCTTACTTCAGGAAGAACGAGGGAGGAGTCACTACTAGGGTTCCTTCTTGGTCAAAGAGTTAAGATCCCCAAACAGAAACAACTGGCGAGACCCCAGGCCCCACGTACCTGCCACACCTCCGAGGACTCCGGCTCAGCCGGCTCGGGGGGCTGGCCTTCCTTTTCCGCCTGCTGCTGTGCCGTGGGGACCACTGCCTGTCTGACAGAGGCACCGGGGACGTCGCCTTCTGGGCCCTGACTCTGAGCGCTGGCTGGTGCAGAGGTGGGCCGGGGGCTCCGGTCCGCCGAGTCCACAGTGGCTGTGAGGGAACAGGGGAGAGGAGAGGCAGGTGAGGGTGGGGCTGCCGCGCTGTGAGCCGAGGACAGTGCGGGTGCTACTGTCCTGGGCTAGGACACACCCTCGTGCTCTGCCAGGTGACCAAGGGCGACAAGAGAGCTAGGTGTGCCCTCGTCAGAGAGCAGACAGCTGCTGGCCCCGTGTCATACACGCTGAACTCGGGGTGGGAGGGAGTCAAAGGGCGGGGACGCGAAGGCGGATCCTGCGACGTCGAGAACCGCAACATTGTCTACGGAGGGAAAGACTATTAATTAAACCTGGCTTCTCCCACAGACCCTTTCTGAAACACAGATCTGCTGACTGGTCCTGCAGAGGCCCAGGTTACTGGGGCTGACAAACCCTGGCTGAGGGAGACGGCTGTGCAGCCCGTTTTAAAGGGGGTCTACAACATGGGGCCCTGCAGACGCAACAAAGGCTTTGTCCTCTCAGCTCTTCGCTGCTTGGGTCTGGACTATTCAGAATTCACGTTTTTGTTTTTGTTTTAGGTTTTCACACGCCCAGCGTGAGTTTAAGCCACCAGGTCCAGGACTCGAACCATGGTTGACTACATGGGAGTCCAGTGACATAGACATTACACCAACTGCTGGTCCCTATGATTTAATATATTTTAAAAAGAATTCTTTATCTAGTGTTTATTTATAGGACATACGCACTCACCAGAGAGAGGCAGAGACAGAGAGAAAGCGAGAACGTAAGCTGCAGTTCCGGGACTCGAACCACAGGAAGCCGTAGGGCAGTCCAGCACCCCTCCTGGCCCCTAATGACCCACTGGTATAGGAGGTCGTTATCCCTTCCTGTGCAGCAGCCCTCCAACAGGGTCTTCCTGCCACCATCTGCCCCAGCCCAGCCCTGGCCGTGACTCCGGTTCCTAAGGGAGCCCACGGGGTGCACACGGACGCCATTCCCAGCTGTGGGGTGTGGTGTGGCCGCTGCACTCCCCGGCCTGCCAGGAGACTTCTGTACTGCTCACTCTGCGTGAAAACCATTACAGTTTTTATTACAGCCTTCCCGCCTTTAAGACGGGCTATCCTGGACGTAATTTACCCTGAGAAGTTCGGATCTATGTTGAGCTGGTTCTGTGGCCTCGTGGGTAAGGCAGCTGGATCCCACATGGCTGATCCTGTGGTTCGAGTCTTGGACACGGTGACTTGAAAACATGCAGGGCCCATGTATATTTCCTAAATTCTAACGGGAAGGAGAAGGAGAAGGGACCACAGGCTGGCGGTTCCCCATGGGGGCTTTCTCCTGCCCTCGGTCTCTCTCCAGTGGGCACACGCACCCTCTACACACACACCAGAGCGAAAAGCTGCACAAAGGAAGAGAACCGAGAGAGTTCCATTAAGCAGGAGAGATAAAATACCGAAACCCACACCACTTCATATACACACCAAGAAACGCTCGTCAGCGCCTAAGGGTCGCTAGTGAGGGCAGGGCTCCCCTAGTGGCCGGCAGGGAGAACAGCAGGAACACAAAGCCTCCATCCGCACTGAAAACCCGTGGCCTCTCGCAAGTCCCTGCTGCAGCTGGTACTCCCTGCCAGCCCAAGCGCGAGTGGCAGATGGCAGAACAAACAGTTGACGCGGGGGACTGTGACAAAATATTGTGTTCGCAGCTGTGAGACATGACTGCCGTCGTGTGTGTTCACACCTCCTCCCCCCCGCTGTTCTCTGCCATGTTCGGTCTGAGTCTGCATGGGCATGGGCACTCCAGGGCCCAAGGGCGGGGAAGGGGCCTCGCGGCGCAGAGAGGCCTGATGCAGGGGGAGCGTGGGCAGCCACAAAGCCAATCCCAGGTGAGCTCCAACCGACCACTCTGGTCCTCAGGAGACAAGACGAGGGCCCCACGGATGCCAGCGTTTTCCTTTATCAAGGATGAGGCTGGCGGGGAGGGCTGGGGAGGAGAGTCGGTGGGCATGAGGCGCCTTGTATCCTGAGATTCGAGCGGGTCAGTCTCTGCGGGTCAGCACTATTCTAAGAGCATGGTAGGCAACAGGAACTGCACGCGCTGATCGGCAATGCAAGTGGGACGCCACCGGGAGCCCTGGGGAGACGCAGCTTTCTCGTTCTCAGCAAGGGGGGCTGCAAGCTGAGGGTCACAACGGAGTTCTGCAGCTGTCGCTGTGCGCTCGCGGGTTCTAACGGCTTCACTGAGATAAAATTCTTTCTCTGTAGTCATCTTTGCTTTCTAGCTGCAGAGCACATGTGCTCCTCAGAGAGGGGGGCCGGGAGGAAGCACCCTACCACCAGGGCATGGTCACACGCCAATTCCTTCTCCTCCATCTGCCCACCACCCACACGTACCCAGTGTGTTTTCCAAGCCTCCAGGTTCAGGACTCAAACCACCTAGCCGAACATGTGGGATCCGGCTCCCTTAACGGCGAGGCCTCAGGCCGGCCCTGCGGTCTGATCTGGTGGTGAAGGGGGCCAGATGCCACATGGCCATTGGGCAGTCCAAGTCTTGGAGCTGGGGCATGAAATCGGGCCGGGTGCCAATGTGTGCATGCCTAGACACCCACAGGGTGGAGAGGAGGAGACGGGGCTGCAGTCCGTGGCCACTCGGGGCCCCTCTCTCCCTCCTTCTCTTTCCACAGTGAGTACACACATCTTCCAGGAAACTGTGAAAAGTATTTAATTCAAGGACCGGCAGTTGGTGTAATGGTTACACCACTGGATTCTCATGTAGTCGACTGCAGTTTAAGTCCCGGGCCTGGTGGCTTAACTCACGCCAGGAGCATGTGTGTGCGTGCCCAAGGTCCCAAGAGAAAAAATTGTGACGTGTCCATCCCCCCTTGGGGGTGATTTCTTGCTTTCTGTTGTCTTTCTGGCAAGCGCACGAGCCCTATAGCAAAATCCTCTCCAAAACCAAAAGAAAGTGTTTAATTCAGTGCTCTTTGATATATCCCAGTGCTGGGGTAGTAATTTATTCTCACTCTTCCGTTTTATTCATTTGTAAGCTATTACAAGAGCTTGGGATATACAGAACGCTTCACTAGAAACTCACTGTCCCCCATTTCTGAAGGTCTGGACGAAGGGAAGTGCCAGAGGTGAGACTTTTTCTGGGGGGCAGAGGACACGTGCACTTGCCAGAGAGACAGAGAGATCAGTATAGAAGCCTCCATGGAGGACGGCCACCCCCCGCCTGCTCGTCCTTCTCTCCCTTAGGGATTTCGGGCACACCAGCGCCCGGCATGTCTCCCAAGCCACTGGGTCAGCCATGGGGGCTCCAGGCATCTCCACCCCGCCGCCCGGCCGCCTGGTGACAGTATGACAGTCCTATAGACCTGTCACTTGAGGGTCAGGCTTCTCTGGGCTGGCGACGACAGGCACGCGGTATGCATGTCTTAGAGTAGTGGAGAGTAGGACCCAGGTCCGCGCTGAGCAGGGGAGAGTAACTCCCGAGTCTCGCTGCCCCACCGTTTCTGCCGGCTGTGCCGGTGCAGGGGTGGCAGTGGGGCGACGGCTCTGCTGCAGCACTCATGTAAATTCCACACGTGGACATTTTTTAATGCCAGAGGACACTTATGTGTGCGTGGGCGTGGGGGAGAATGACCTGCACTGGGATCTGGTCATGCCACAACCCACTTTCTTCCATGTCCCCAGCAGGCTCCTGGGCATGTGAGGAGGGCCTGAGTGCCAGGCCCGGGACTCGAGCCCCATCTGGCGACGTGGCACCTGGCCTCCTCCATGTGGTACACCACTACTATGCTAGGGGACCCGCCTGTCTGTGGGCTGCAGAGGAGCCAGCGGATGCTTGGTCTCCCAGATGAGGAGCTGGCAGCGGGCCTAGGTGGGGACAGGGCTGTAGGGTCCGGGGAGGACGAGGTCCGCTCCGCTTGCCGAGGGACCAAGTGGGCCAGAACGCCATTTTCAGGCTCTGGGACCCTCACGAGGACAGCGGCCGCTCCTGGGCTGTCAGCGCTAAACAGAAATGCAGGAGGGGCCAGCAGGCGGTGCGTGGGCCGAGGCGCTGGACTCCCACGGGGCTGGCCACAGGTCAGGACCCACACCTGGGGCTTGCTTTCTCACTTTCCTTCTCTCTGGCTTTCTCTGTTCAAATTTTTAAAATTATAATAAAAATGATAAGTAAGATTAAATTTTAAAAGCTTAAAAAAATTTAAAAAGAAAGACATGGAAATGGCTTAAAGAACAAAAAATATGACAAAAATAAGGCCGAAAACCCGCAGGGTCATTACCAGCCGACCTCCAGCTGACCCCGCTGCTTGGCAGTCTGGACGGCTCTGTCCACCTGCCGGCAGGTGCTGAGGCCGCGGGGGGG